TTTGAGACTGTCTAGCTCTGTCTCTTTCGTCTTGAATTCTCTTCAGTTTTCTTTTACATCTTTTACGTTCTTGTTCTTGCTTAGGCCCAATGTACAGCCCAACACCAACAATAATGATCAACAGCACACAGAAGACGACATGACCATAGTTTGTTGAACGCTCGAGGACTTTACCGCTGAAAACTTCACCCATTCGGACAATGGCGAGTTCCACACCTTGATCGTACTCTCTCTTTTGCATGTATGGCTTCATTTCCTCAATGATAATATCAATCTGGTCATCGGATAACAACTCCATGGCTCTTTTTCCTGTGGAGACATACAGTTGACGATCTAAAATGGAAATCAGCAACATTACTCCGTCATCACATCCCGCATGGCCGACACCCCAGCTGTAATGTAAATGTTTGGCAAACGTCTTCGCTGTTTCTTCAACAGGTTCACCAGGAATGGCACTCATTCGGTTTAAAACTACAACGCCAATTTGAAATCCAGGTTCCTTATCGTTACTGCACCCTGAAGCAGTATTTTTAACAATTGAATACAACAACTCTTCAATCATATCGGCAGCCTCGTAGCTGAGAATATTCTCTGGATCACAGATCCAGGAAACCTTTCCTCTGCGACCACAAGCTTTTACATCTCTCGTAGGATCCGGAAAATCCTGCGCGTACCATTCTCCAGTTGCCTCTCCTTGAAGGAAACAGAAAGCCGCAAAAATAACCAGGAACATAGCTGATACGCTCGCTATCCTAACGATTTTCTTGGATTATGGCGGCTAAAACACTGAAAAATTCGTATCACAGACAGTGACGTTCAAACTCTCCTAGAGGGGAAAGAAGAAAACCGAAGGTTACGTATTCAGTGGCTTTAATAATGGCATTTCTCGCGGCTGAGAACGAAAATCGACAAGGCCGAAAGAATTGCCACAGGCCGATTTGGCCTTTTACCTGAAAGATTTCTTCTGTCAGTGAGGACGAAGTCGATGATTGAGAATTTTGTCAAATACGCCCAAAATTGCTTGTGTAAGCATGATTCACGCATCATTACCCACTGCGCGTTTTATTCGGGAATCGTCGATTCCTTTATTTTCATTTAACAATAAAGTCGGCTTTTCTTGTCATGTCTATTGTATTTATTTGTTTAAAAAAATAATACATGGTTGCTTGCAGATATGGAATTTCTCTTCTTGTGCTCAACTCGACATCTCACTCGTTCGTTGCGCTCACTCGTGAGCTATCGAGTTAAACACCCGGGGAGAAATTCTATATCTACTCGCCATTATATCCTCGCTAAGTGGTAACTACGGCTCGTGCTTGTGTTTGTCACGACGCATCCCATCGCTATTTTTGTGGCTAAATTAATCACGCAAACCCCCCTCCGGGCAGTCATTCAATAAGTTTAGTTAACCAGCAAATATGTAATGAGATGTATTCTTTAGGTAAATCATACATGTGTGGCTGTTGTTTTTCTTCGATTGAATTTGAGATCAGAGCGGTTTTCATAGTTACTCGGCGGTTTACCTGCTCCAGTATGGCAAGCCGATTGTAGCAATATTCAATAGCCCTTTTTTCAGTTCCCAGGGCTATATTGAATTAGTAGCCGCGCAAACACGATAGCGAGGCTGCCGGTGACCCGCGTATTACAAAAACAGTAAATACAGCTGATTGGAGAAGTCTTTCGTGGTTCAATCGCTTCTAAAATGGTGCTAGTTTATAAGGATATGCAGATTACAACGCTAGAAGATATCCAGAAGTTAAAAGTGAAGGATTTAAGGGAAATTTTGCGTTCTAATTCGGAAGCGACGGGCGGAATAAAAGCAGATTTGGTTTAAAAGTCTACGCGATACTCATGCGACACGTGCTTCGACCGGGTGAGTATCAGCAGCAAAGGAACGATAATACTGCTCAAGATCACCAGAATACAACGGAAAATAGTGGTGACTTCCAATACGATGAAACTTTAAGACGAACCTCTGCTCTCAGATGGTCCACTGATTTACGTCAGCTTTTTTGAGGGTTACGGTACAAATAGAACAGAAATTGGCGTAGCCTTGGCAAACGTCAACAGCATTTTGTCTTCAGACACTCTACTTAAAATATGACGACGACGGCAAATGGAGAGGTTTAAATCTCTTTAATTGGAGCGCTGTAGATTTTTTACAGG